AAAGGGTTTGCTCAGCGCTGTACAATAGCAAGGGGCCAGAACATGAGACAAGACAGAAACAATTCAATACACGAGGGGTTCGAGGGCCCTGCTCTTTCGAGCTGACAATCAAGGAGGGAATGTATAATAATGATTTGTCACATTTGATTGACAGCAGCGGGTTGCTTCTTGCAGTCTGGGACATCCAAACCACAACCAGGATCTGAGGTCCGCTTAGCAGAAGAGGAGAAGAACAGATACCAGCCACCATGAAAGAGGAATTTAGAGGGAGGCTGCAAGAGATGCAGCACAGGGGACCAGGTCCTGCTGGGATGGTATGATTCTGTCTGCCGGTAATTCTAGATGAAAGAGCTAGACCACGAGCAGCACCACCAGGGAAAAATCATCTTCGCCATCTAGGAAAGGTACTGGTTGCAGTACGAAGAGTGGGTGCTATTATTGGGGGAAAAATCAGACAAGGAGTGGACAGCTGAGTTAAGCAGGCTGATCCAGGCAGAGATGTGGCTGGATGCAAGCTGCAAAACCCACCGCTGGTATGTAGCCCAAGTGTGCCTTTGGACAGTGGATGGCAGCCTGACAGAAGGCTTTGGCTATTGCTGCTTGGGGCTGTTGTACAGGAGGCTATCACAGGACCCTGACTTCAGGAGTGATCTGGAGTGGTATTTGAAGCAAATCATGGATTGCAGAGACCAGATGCTGAACATCTCGGAAGTGCTCTGGGCACAGGAGTTTCTAGCCATTCAGGAATGGGAGCTGGAGATTGACTGGTAGATACTGCTCAGCAGCAGGGCTGGGCTCCCTTTTCCTGGGACTACTGGGAAGTACCATCTGAAAACTCTGAAATCCTTACTGAAGTGTTGACAATGTGTCAGAGTAACAGTGTGCTTACCTCCATCCACAATTATGGAAGTGGAGCACTTATGGCAGATGCGGTAAGTGTTGACTCACCTTGACAAACCTGTTTTTGCACAGGGTGAGCTTTGATGGAGGAATGCATCTGTCCAGCAGTCTGATAAGTCTACAGGAGATGGAGCAGCCAGCTCATCTCCCCAGCAGCAGTTCAAGGACCTGGGAGAGGAGGAAACTGCCCCCACTCCCCAGCCACAGATCCCAGAAAGCATGGATTTGATTGACTTCTTCACCAGAGGATGTAACATTTATTGAGCTTCCAATGGGAGTGCTGGCAACAGGGCAGAGCTCTGTAATCCTCTGCACAGCTTTGGTAGCATTGCTTGGGTTCCAGGGACAGGAGATAGTGAGACTCTATCTTCAGCCACCAGCTCCAGAGACTAATAGACTTTTCTGCTGAGGAGGAACAACCCAGTGAGCCTCCAGCAGAAGAGCTGGCATCAATGTAGAGAGCTTGCCTACAACAATCGGTGGCACTGGAGGATTTGTGCGAGGCCACAAAATTTTAATTTTACTCCCCAGCGAAAGAGCTGACATTGGGGCAGAGCACCACTGACCTCTGCCCAGCATCCAGAGCACTTCCGGAGCTCCAGGGAGCCAGGTGGGCAGCCCTTCTTCCCAGAAGCAGGCTGATACGCAGTCCCAGCAGAAGCGCTTGCAACAGGACAGAGGGTCTACTACCTTTGCCCAACACCAACAGTGACATGGGAACCTCAGGAAGAAGTAGTCAATGTTTCATCTCTCCAGTGGCAGTTCCACAGGCAGAGAGAGGAGGTGATCTTCCTTCCTCCCCAGAGGCAGATCCACAGTCCAGGAGAGGAGGTGGTCATCCTTCCTCCCCAGCGGCAGTTTCATAATCTGGGAGAAGAGATGGTCATCCTCCCTCCGCAGTGGCAGATCCACAGTCTGGGAGAGGAGGTGGTCATCCTCCCTCCCAAACAGTCAGCCAAAGCAGAGGAAACTGTTTTCCTCCCCAGCAAGGATCCATGCACCAGAGAACTGTTGTACTAGCAGACAGATGATTATGGCCCATGGAGGAGACCAGGGATTTAGTCTGCTTCTCCCTGTCAGAGCATGGAAGAGAGCTCAGTTCAGCCTCTGATCGCTTGGAGAGAGCAGATCAGTATGTGATGATGGATAATAACATGATGAGCTGAAAGCAAGGCTTTGATTAATGCTTGGAGTAAAGACAATACAGCTTCCCTTGCGGAGTGGCTAGAAAGGTGTAATATTAATCTTATACATATTCATGGTCAGAGTAAATATGGTGGCCCTCTTGCAGACTGAGTTGAAGAAGCTCCTCCACTTGGAACAGAAATATTTATTAACAATCTCCCTCAAGAAATCTGTGAAGATGCATTAATTCCACTTTTTCAGACTGTTGGAATATTGTATGAGTTCTGTCTCATGATGGACAGATTGCACAGATGGGGGCCAGTCACCTAAAGACAGCATGTGTAATGTACTTTGTGTATTCAGGGTTGGAGGTGCCAGGCTGTCTGGAGTGGGCTTCTGGCTGGCCTCCATGCCTGGCTGTTGATTAGCTTATTGTTAATTAGATCATTGTTATCTGTGCTGTTTACCATATGCATTGTTAAGAATAATGTGATCATGCTCTTACCTAATCAGTGTAAGATGTTTGTCACAATGTGTAATATTTGTTTTTATTGTTCATGTGGGGACTGACGCTATTTCTGAAGTGTATAAAAACCTGTATTTCTGTTCAATAAAGGAGTTCCAGTTTTTGCACCTAAGCTAGTGTCGCCTAGTCTCGGGTGCGATGTCCAGCCATAATACCTTGATCCTGTGTCCCAGCGGTGAGGAAGAAGTTCTCTGGTGAAATCACCCTGTCGGGGTGACAGGCAAGGCGGTCTGATATTGTTTAGTCTGAACTGTCAAACATACACTATTGCAGAGGTGGACAGAGAAGGGCTCCAGACAAGGTCCCATTGGCAAGTAAAGAGATGATGACACTGGTGTCTGAAAAAAGATGGGGTTTCTGTAGTTATTTACAGTGGTATTTGAAAAAAAGGAGCTTGTTAAGGTGGCTTGCATGAGCACTACATGACCAATGTGTGTGTACGGTGGTCACAGAATGTGGAGCGCAGCTAAATCTGGATTTGATAGCAATAAAATCCAGTTGAGATTCTTATGTCTCCTACTTTATGCAAAGCTATTTGAGCTATTTGCATTTTTTTTTTACTGTGTTTTAAGTATATATGGTGATCATGAATGCAAATAGTTCATGGAGAGCCACCCATAGGTATCTTCTTAGTATGATAGATTCAGGAGGGATGCAGTGCCCCAAAAAGAAGTACGCACTATAATACTATACGTAAAGAAAAGTATAACTAGCCTTAATATGCTACCCTCACAGCCAGTATAATAATCACATTAACCTACAATTTTTCTGTCATATTTTAGACTCATTTACTTTGCCGCACTTAGGATTTTTTTCAGTGAACTTAATGTACTTTTCGAACAGAAATGTGATCGCAGTGTAAATTTCTAGTCTCCTGTAAATGTCAAAAGGCAAATCTAAACTTAGGGAACAGACATTATATTGATTGTGCATAATAGATGTTTGCCAACTGAACGTGTTTCCTGTGCTATGATATTTCAGGTTGCTATTTATTAACCCATTTGGTTTCTATTTATTAACCCATTTTTTGTTGTTTCAGCCTGAGATAGTGGCAGTGTTATCTAACATGATGGTTTTATGGTGTATCCTAATTTCCCTACACTATGTGTTGGATTTACTTGAGGCTAATAGGCTGTTTGCTTTGCAAGGGAAGTTGCACCATGCAATGGAATTTTCTCCAGTGATTAGTAAATGTGGTGCAGATTCACCACTTCGCTTGTAAAGAGAACAGTCTATGTGCCTTTAGTAAAACAACCCCTATTTGTGATACCATCATGGTATAATGATGTAATGGTCCTGATGTCATGGTAGTTGTATATCCTAGTAATACATACACTGGATAAGCGATGCTGTAAAGCAAACTTTACAACACATTTTAAAATTAAAAAATGACGTTCCTGATTAGAAATGAGCTTAAAGATCCTCTGAACTCATCTTTATCTGAACATTTATATTACACACTTTTTTATACTCCTATCAGCTTAAGGCCAGGTTATTTCCCACTCCACAGCACATGTAAACAAATGAATGTGAGATTCTGATGACATCATTGACCATATATGGACAGATGTCTATATTTAGAAAATGACTTTGACAAAATATGGACATGGGTCCATAAGGACACGAACATCACCAGCACCCTAACTCTTTGTTCATGTGTGTTTGTTGTTGCCAGAGTACTTGCCATTGAAATTAATAAACACCTAAGCACTAAACGCGGTTAGCGTTTACACACATTTTTGCCGTGTTTGGCGTTTTTTTTTGCCAAAACGTTCCTCTTGTCAATGCGATTCTTCTGTGTTCAGGAAAGGGACATTTTACTGCCTCTAAACTCTGCTGCTGCAAAAACTCTGATAAAAGCCTATGTGTATATGGACACATTTTATTGAGTTGAGTTCAGGGGCTTTGGTGAAAAAAATTCCAAAAGCTCTAAAACTCAGGTTTAGGAGCAGCAATGTTTTTTACCTCAAATGCCCAGTCATCTCCTTCTGCACATGAATAAATGTTAATCACTTGCCCTCCTGAAGATTTACCCCCTTCCTGACCAGGCCATTTTTTGTGATAAGGTGCTGCGGTACTTTAACTGACAATTGCGCAGTCATGCAACACTGCACCCAAATGGAATTTATGTCCTTTTTTTCCCACAAATAGAGCTTTCTTTCGATGGTATTTGATCGCCTGTGCGGCTTTTATTTTTTGCGCTATAAATGAAAAAAAAACCCCGACAATTTTGAAAAAAAAAAAAACTATATTTGTAACGTTTTCCTATTAAATATGTTCAGTAAAAAAATCAAATTTTGTCATAAATTTAGGCCAAATTATATTCTGCTACATGTCTTTGCTAAAAAAAAATCCCAATACGTGTAAATTAATTGGTTTACGTGAAAGTTATAGTGTTTACAAATGACGGTATATATATATTTTTTTTTATATTAGTACATGGCGGCAATCAGCGGCTTATTGCGGACTGCGACGGGCATTCTGACACTGGGGGGAACTGACTTGGTGTCACTGACATCCCCAGTGACACCAATACAGTGATCAGTGCTAATAAAAAGCACTGACACTGTACCAATGGCACTGGGCAGGAAGGGGTTAACATGTGGGGCGATCAAAGGGTTAACTATGTGCTGTGTACTGTTTTATTATGAGGCTGTCTGCTGTGTTTCACTGTAAGCCCAATGCAGAGCCATACAAAGTAGTGTGCAGGAGCAGACAGAGGAGAGATCTGTATTGTTTACGTACAGGTCTCTCCCCCAGTTGGAAATCCTCAGAGATCAGCAGGTGCCGATGGGGAATCACCAACTGGGACCTGGTGATTGACAGCCGAGGCTGCGAATGGCATAGCTCCCCCTACCCGTAATTGCAAAATCAAGTATAGATGCGTGATTCTGCACACCCGTGCCGCCCTGTCTGCTATAGGATGGTGGAGAAGCAGTTACTCATATGTTACACACACATGTGCGCACGCATATGGTCCAGGGAGCGCTCTCCGAGCACTGCTTTCTCATCATGCAGCTGCTTGTTCCATAACACCTTTGACATCCATATATTACTCTTATATATAACACACACATATATATCCTTTACACATTTATATATATATATATTGTAACAGTAAGAACGGTGAGGATGCTATGTGCCACCTCGCATTCGGGCATACTTGGGAGTTTAAGGTGAAATCCACTCCGGGTTTTCTGGGCCACAATGGCAGAGGTGGTTCCAGACCTGATTTTGTGGTCCACTGATGACCACCAGCAGGTGCTATAAATAAGGCAGGGCTGGAGCAAGAAGCTGCTTGTGGCCTGGGACTCAGAGAGCCATTCCTGAGAGAGCTGTGCATGAAATGATTGTTGTTTTGTTGGTGACAGGGAGAAGCCCTTCACCAGTGAGATAGGAAAAGTTCTGTGTGTAGTTAGTGCCTGGATGGCAAGGGTTTATTTTACTGTTTTGTTTGTTTTGACTTTTTTGCAAACCTTTGAATAAAACTGACAACCAGTCAGAGCCTGCTGTGCGGTCTGTTTTCCCAGGGAAGGTGATCCCCCGCCTGAGCTAACCCCACAATATATATATATATATATATATATATATATATATATATATATACTTTTTATTTCCTATATATTTTCTATTTCTTATGCTTCCATGTTTATACATACACACGTATACCATACATTATACCAATTTTACCAGATTTTATACTATATTGTAACAATACTTATTTTATTTTTATTTATTTAAACTTTATAAATCATATTAAGACTTTTTTTTAACGTTTTATATTAACATTTATGTTTATACTAGTGACATATCTCCTTTGTCCCCGTATATAGTATTGCCTATGTACATCCATCCTTGGTGCACTGCATTGACACATATGCTTAAGTTTCATTACATATAACTATACTAGAATAATAATACACACCCTGTAGGCTGCATTTCTATGAATTAACAAGTGTCACAGCTGGGTTCCATATCTACTCTCCATTAAATCCATGTCCCATGGTTGTCTATGGCAAGCAGAGCACTAGACAGCATCGTAGTGTCATTCATCCATCCATCCATTTATTTAAATGCAAGCAGTGCAGTGCATCACCAGGGAAGGATTTTTAATATATATGTGTAATTTTTTACTTATTTTTTATTTGCACACTTCTTATGGTTCTTATGATTTTATGATTGCCACTAGTTTCAATGATTTTATTTATACATATTTTATTTATTTCAGGCACTTATATAGCGCCGTTAATTTACGCAGTGCTTTACATATATATATTGTACATTCACATCAATCCCTAACCCTCAAGGGGTGTACAATCTAAGATCCCTAACTCACATTCATATACAAGGGCCAATTTAGACAGGAGCCAATTATCCTACCAGCATGTCTTTGGAGTGTGGGAGGAAACCAGAGTACCCGGAGAAAAACTCACGCAGGCACAGGGAGAACATGCAAACTCCAGGCAGGGGGTGCCGTGGCTGGGATTCAAACCAAGGACCCTAGTACTGCCAGGCGGAAGTGCCAACCATTTAGCCACTGTGCTGCCCATATATATTTATATATTTTTATAGATATTTTGTGTTTACTTATACTTTGTCAGTTGTCCCTGTGACCCCCTCCCCCTGCTCTTAGGGGAGTGTCCAGGATGGCCCATGTGACCTTTGGTTCAACTAGTAGTGAGCATAAAAAAGAGGGAGCAGACATTTGGTCAGTTGGCTCTGAGAAAGAGGCAAATCCTCAAGTCGCATCAGTCTATTGAATGTCTACACTCCCTATTGCGGACTGTTACTCAGCGTGGTGTTGACCCAGTTGTTGTTTTATGACGTGCCTTGACTTTATTGCTGTTTGTGAGTACAACACCTACTTTATTTCTTATTAAACATTTTGTATGGGAATACATTAGTCCTGTGCACCCTCTGTTTGTTTTTTCTTCATTCATGTGCTGTTTTATTATGAGGCTGTGTGCTGTGTTTCACTCTAAGCACAATTCTTTGTATGGCTCTGCTATGCAGAGCCATACAAAGCAGTGTGCAGGAGCAGACAGAGGAGAGATTTGTATTTTTTTACATACAGGTCTCTCCCCCGGTTGGAAATCCTCGGAGATCGGCAGGTGCCAATGGGGAATCACCAACTGGGACCTGGTGATTGACAGCCGAGGCTGCGAATGGCAATGCTCCCCCTACCCGTAACTTCAAAATCACGTATATATGCGTGATTTTGTTCACCCCGTGCTGCCCTGTCTGCTATAGGATGCTGGAGAAGCAGTTGATTGGATGATTAAAGCTGAACTCTGGGTACAAAAGCTTTTATTTGAATATAGTCATAAAGGATATAAATCCACTTTTTATGCACCAAATGTCCTTGCAACCCAGTTATTACCTTATAAATTTAGTAGAGACATCAAAAGTGAGCTGCATATAGTCTGTGTAGAGAGCAAAGCTGTAGGAGGGGCTCTACAAGCTCCACCTACTTCAGGCTGCCTGCTGAAAACAAGAGGAGTAGGGTGGACACAGGAGCAGTCCCACTGCACGAAGTTTCATACTAAATTACTGCACAGATCTGCAAACATTCACAATGAGCACCATGAATCAAGTAAGAATACACATGCTTCTTTTGTTTGGACATTCTTGCTTCAGGTAAATCAGTGCTATTTCAACTAAAGTGTATCTCTATCCAAAACCTTTTATTTTCAGTTTGGGAAAGTGCGTTGAAGGGTTACAGCCTCTGTCATGTTTCAGTTGCTGATTGTCTCCCTGCTGGGGAGTTTCACCCTCTCTAATTGTCCCATCACAGAAAATGATAGGAAATGCAAAACCTGACAGCTGTCACCAAAGAGCTAAGGGAAATCTTTCAATCGAAACACTTGTTCTGGTGATAACTGCCACTTTGTCCTGGTAATACAAAAAAGGAAAACTTTTCCAGACAGCAAAAAAATGACAGGGGTTTTAGCCCTGGTTCACACAAAATGATACTTCATGTGCAACATGTGATTTACAACTTGCACCTGAAGTTGCATCCAATGTATTTCTATAGCACTGTCTTAATCAGTGATTTGAAGTAGCGGGATTTCAAAAATAGTTCATGTACTACTTTTTTCCGATTTCACTGCGACTTGCATTGACTTTTGTTAAATGAAGTTGCAAGCCGCAGTGAAATCGGAGATACAAATCGCACTGATCTGCAGCTTTCAAATCGCGCTACTTCATTTACGTAGCATGATTTCAAAGTTCAATTCAGTGTGAACCAGGGCTTAAAGCGGAACTAAACCCATTGATTTAACAGTTCCAAAAAAAAAAACAGCTACATTGGTTGTGTTCTCAACCAAACTGTCAAACCATCAAAGGGCTGGTGTCATAACTGATCACATATACAGCACCATGGCAGTTGAAGAACAAACAGAGGCTAAGATGGCAGCTTCATTGGCTGAAAACAATAGAAGGGGTTTAGTTCTGCTTTAACTTTTCCTACTCCATCGAAAACCTGATGTCACTTTACTATTGCACATTTCTATATGTATGCTCAACAGAACATTTTTTTATACAGAATTAGAAAGCTCCATAGGGTAAAACCTAATACAGAACTGTAGGATTAGAACCAAATTTTGCCCACATTGTGAGAGTTACACAGTACAGTCAAACCATGTCTTTGTAGTTTATTTTACTAAAACAAATCCTCTATATAGAGTGAAAATAATCCAATAAGGACACCAGTTCCAGGGACAACTAAAGCAAGCAAAATTCTTTCTTGTATTAAGAGGTATAGACTCCAGAGAGAGATATCATATTACCTCTGTACAAATCATTAGTAACACCTCATCTGGAATATGCAGTTCAGTTTTGGGCACCAATTCACAAAGAACATTGGGGAACTGGAGAAAGTACAGAGAAGGACAACCAAACTGATAAGAGGCATGGAGGAGCTCAGCTATGAGGAAAGATTAGAAGAACTGAATTTATTCTCTCTTGAGAAGAGGAGATTAAGGGGGGATATGATCAACACGTATAAATACATCAGTGGTTCATATAGTGAACTCGGTGTAGAGCTATTCACCCTGAGGTCATCACAGAGGACAAGGGGGCACTCTACGTCTGGGGGAAAAGAAATTTAATCTCCAAACACGGAAAGGTTTCTTCACAGTGAGAGCTGTGAAAATGTGGAATAGAGTCCCTCAAGAGTTGGTTCTGGCCAGCTCAGTGGATTGCTTTAACAAAGGCCTGGATTCTTTCTTAGATACACAGAATATAACTGGATACTAACATTTATAGGTAAAGTTGATCTGGGGAATATCTGATTACCTCTCGGGAGATCAGGAAGGAATTTTTTTTCCCTGCAAGAGCAAATTGGATCATGCTTTGCTGGTTTATTTGCCTTCTTCTGTATCAACTGTGGGTATAGGATTATAACTTTTTTTTTTTTTAATGTTTGAATTGGATGGACGTTTGTATTTTTTCAGCCAGACTAACTATGTAACTATGTAACTAACTGGATTTCCCTCACTTTGTAGTGATTTCCATTCACTTGATGTTGTGCAGGAGAGGAAGGTAAATGAAATGGAATGGTATAGCTAGTAGTATTTATTCACATTCAGTTGGACTTGTTTCGTAATGTGAAATACTTTTTGTAGCTTACTAAACCACTTCCTCTGCAAAGACCTGTACACTGGGGAGACAAAACAATCTCTCAACCAACAAAATGGCCATAGGAGGCCACTTTAAAATGGAGCACTCATCCTTAAACAGGGGTGGAGGCCTTCATCACCATCTTTCTTTCACATGTAATGCCATTTTAACATCTCTACCTCTGTGATTTGACAACAATTCACACCTTTAGCCATCTAACTTGAGGAACTAACACTTATGCAGGCTTCCTGGCAGTAAAAATTAGGTTTTGTAACCAGGAGAAGATGGCACCATAATTTTCACACATTCCATCCTGCTCTTGGGCAATCAACATTTCCATTTTTTATAGTGATTTGTATAAGGCTTCCTAAGTTGTGAATAGATATGTTCTTGACACTCCAGGAAATGAATAAGTGGCTTGGTAAGCTACAAAACATTTTGAATTGATGCTCTGTGATCCAGTGTGACTATTTAAAGCATAGCTTGGGGCTGCTTTCTTTGTACTCCATTCTTGCAAAAAGCCTTTTTAGTTGCTGGAAATGTTGCAGTTTTTATAGAGGGTTATGTACTTTAACTTACTGCTGTCTGCTTGTTTTGCACATTTATAAAAAATCTATATTGATTGCACATTTCATTATACAGTCCTCAGTATATATGACTTTTTGTCACATGGGAGAATTGGTAGCCTAATTCATGTAGTTAGGCTGATGTTTTAATGTATAAAACATTTGATAATTGGATGAGAGTGTTTTTAAATGTATAATGTGCTAAATTTAGCTATGTACTTTGCCATGTGGAGATCCCAAGATACCAGTAGCACTGGCTAGCAATGTATGTACTCATTCTAAAAGTTTGAAGGGGTCTTTTTTTATGGGGGGGCAGAGGGTGCAATGAAAAGCACATATATATTTATAAAGCCAAATAAGGACATTTTTTTTAGGAGTGGGGCTATACATGTCACCGGAAAAGGAACACAGGGGATATCTTCTTGTGCCGACACTTACCTCTGTAAAAACTGTCTAAAAGATGGTGTCCCCTCATTTTTCAAAGATTCTATTGCATCCTGTAGTATCTCTGGGACAGGATTTGAAAGATAGTCTCCCCATTGGGAAAAAGGCAGCAAACAATACTAAAAAATGGATGGTTTTAGATATTCTGTAATTGTAGTTAATTTTAGTTAAACTCTTATCTAATCAGCATGGGATGTTTATCTCAATGTGTAATATTTGGAAAAAGATGGTGTGATTGTTTCAAGGAGCATAATATGACGATACTTGAACAAAATTGAGCTGCATAGTTGAGTTGCCAAAAAGAAGCCTTTATTGTGCCAATGCCACAAAACAGCCTGGCTAAAATATGCCTGACAACACTTTAACATGCCTTACTGGGCTTTTGTGTAGCATTGGTGCAGTAAAGGCTTCTCTCTGGCAACTCGACCACGCAGTTCATGTTTGTGTTGTACTCCTTGAAACAACCACACCGTCTTTTTCTAGAGCAGCCTGTATTTCTTTTGAGGTTACCTATGGGTTTTTCTTGGTATCCTAAACAATTCTTTTGACATTTGTGGCTGCAATCTTTCTTGGTCTACCTGACCTTGGCTTGGTATCAAGAGATCCCCGAATTTTCCACTTCCTTATAAGCGACTGAACAGTACTGACTGGCATATTCAAGGCTTTGAATATCTTTTTTTATATCCTTTTCCATCTATGTAAATTTCCATTACCTTGTTACACAGGTCTTATGACAGTTCTTTTCTGCTTCCCATAGCTCAATATCTAGCCTGCTCAGTGCATCCATGTGAGAGCTAACAAACTCATTGACTATTTATATACAGACACTAATTGAAATTTAAAAAGCCACAGATGTGGGAAATTAACCTTTAATTCCCATTTTAACCTTTGTGTGTCACCTTGTATGTCTGTACCAAGGCCAAAAATGCCAGAGTATGTAAACATTTTATCAGGGCCATTTGGGTGATTCCTGTTATCATTATGATTTAAAATGAAGCCAAACAACTATGTGATAACAGATGGCTTCATATGATCACTAACATTAAATAAAAGACAGTTTTTGGCATGATCAGTCATATTCAATATCAATGCCAACATTTCACGAATTCTGACAGGGTATACAAACTTTTGAGCACAACTGTAACTATTTGAAAGTGGGCCATTCTCTTTGAAACAACCTCTATGTTGTTCCATGCGTTCAATAATTGCAATAGAAAAAAATTACCTGTTGACTTTGCCAAAAATGTTGTGAGCTGATAACTTCTTGCACTCTCTGTGCACAACGAGAGGCTATGGAGATGTAGAGGGAGAAGAGATGAGGACAATTCTGTGTTCTTTGTAGAAAGGAGCACCAAAGGGCTCTTAAGTGTAGTATTAGAAAGACTTAAATGATAAAACAACAATAAGCAACTCATAAAGGTAGCAAAATATGGAGCCTGTCATGAACACATCCACCGGGATGTCACAGATGCAATGTGGATGGATGGCTGATCATTCC